CATGGTTTGTTTTCAAATGGTTTGCTGCTGTCTGTTTGGACCTTTCTGAACATGTGCAGCAAATGGACTGATCCAATATGGTGGACACTGAAGGGGGGGGGGGGCTGAGACACACTTAATATTATCAGCGTTCTGATGGCATTTTAGAGAAAAACAATTATTGTGCAGAAATAAGGAATAGCTGCATTAAGCATACATGGAAACAGTTTTATGGGGCCCCCAGGAAGTATTGCCTAACGGTAAAACCCTGAAATTATGGCTTTCAGTTTCAGTGGCCACCCTAAGATTTTTAGTGGCCCCATCTGCCCCCCCCATGAAACATTTGAGAGTCACTAGCTGATAAACCCGGTTTCTTCAGAGTCTGGCAGTAAATTCCATAGCCATACATGAAAACCCAACAGGGAGCAAAGAACAGGAACCAGAACAGCTGACTGACAAATCCACTTTATTAAACTTCAAACATGGAGGCGACACAAATCAGAACCGCTCACCTGCAGAGAAACAGAATCAGTTAGAACAGGTCAACTTTCCATTCCCTACAGCAGTTTAAATCCAAGCTCAACTAAGTCAGAACAAAAAGTAAATGGAATAATCGGTGCCGTCTGATATGAACTGAGAAATCTGAGGCATTCAGACTTAAAGGTTCTGATAAGCCTGTTCTGTTCCAAACTCTAGATATAAAGTGTTTCCAATCCTATAATCAAGTCTGGTTCCGTTCAGTAGAATGAAGCCAGTTTATTTAGGGGTTCTGGTCGCATTACCATGGCAACCAACAGGGTTAGTTACCAACAGGGTGGAAGTGGACTAGTACCTCTGACGATTCCTTCGTTAACACTGGTTCCATACAGATCCGATTCACCACCACAGGCACCGTGGATAATTAATTTGGAATCAGAGCTATTTGGGTCCGTTTGAAGATCACCGACTTTTCCTGAAGTTGGGCGTTGGACTCCAGTATTAGCCTGGTCAGGGTTCTGGGGTTCGAAGTTCTGGTAGAACCTTCTGCTGTCTCCCTCCGCTGAAGGCTCCTGGTTCTGTAAGGACTCAGACTGGTCCCAAGTCTGGAGTCTTGCTGCCAGACCGACTGGTTTAACTCTGATTAGGGAAAGTCCTGATTGAAGGAAAGTCAGATTTTAAAAGCGGACCAAAGGTGAAACCAAGCAGATGGTTAGATCATCGGCTCTTACCTGATGTTTGACGAACGGGTCCAGATGAACTGGATTTCTCTCTCGGATCATTTGTCTCAGCCCATAAAGACATTAGCCCTTGCTCTGTCTGTTGCTGCTGCCCCTCCTGGACAGAGTACTGG